ACACACACACACACACACACACACACACGCACACACACACATGCCTGTTTCGTTTCTGATCCATAGCTAAAGATGACATCATGAAATCTAGCTAAAATTAGCCTTTGGTAAACTGCTGGGCATTTTCACTTTTATGAATTACGAGAACAAATCCATTCCTATAAAGTAATAATGTGCATGTTAGTTGATATTACAAAATAACTGAGTGAACTACAACTTCTGTTGAAGCAGTAAAGACTAGTAGAGTCACACTGAATGCTGAGGCTGTGTTCCCGTATAGAGCTCTTAAAATCCTGACTGACGAGGAGGTTAAACTGCTCGTCACGCCTCTCAGCTGTTCTTACATCACGCTGAACCGCAGCCTGAACCGGGCTGTTTGTTTACTTCACCTGCAGCTCTCCGTGTCACCTTTAGCCCATCCACCAGGATGTGATCCGTTTGCCAGAACTCTGCAGCTGCTGAGTCACATTTAGTGTCCCGTTTGACAAGCAGGGATCTGAATGCTACTTTTCATTAATTTGTCTATCATCACCCTCCTCCTCCTCCTCGGCTTCCTCTTACCCTGCACCGACTGGTTCTGCTGCGCCTGCCCGCTGCTCCTGGCCTTGTGGGTGTGTGTGTGGGTGTGTGTGTATGTGTGTGTGTCTTTGTGATTTTTGAACTTGAGTATGTGAGCTGGCATGTCCCCCAACAGTGGCACACGCTCAGTAATTACCACACTACACTGTGCAGGGGAATGGGAGCCACTTACATACGTGCGCATGCATGCACACACACACACACCTACACACACACACACACACACACACCTACACAAACACACAGATGTATTCTCCATCTACACTTGGTATAAACACGTAATCTGTATGTGAATAACTGATCTGCATACAGGAAAAAGATGCATTAATGCAGATGTTTGTGCACCTGAGCACCATAAAGTGAGGCAGACCACAGGCTGAGGCGGTCAAGCTCCAGCTGCCTCATACCATAAACCAAAGCTAGGCTCTCAAAGGCACAGGAACTATCATCGGCCTCAGCTCTGCCCTGGAATAAAACCAGAGCTCATGCAGAATCATGTCATGATGTATAGAGTGTTTGCTGACAAGTAGTTCACTTAACTCCACCTCATTTATTTACATAATTAAAACTGTGGCCATAATCGAGATGACAAAAGCGAGAAAAAACGAATACCAATGAAAAGAATGTGATTAATCAGATAACGTATCCGGATACAGCTAATTAGCTTTTTGTTTTGTTTTTACCTGGATACTAACAAAGGTTTGTGATCGTCTCAAAATTGCGCAACAGCGCTACAATTGTCAAACAAACTGCAGTAGAATCCGATATTGTTGTTTGACAGAGTGTAAACACAGAAATTAGCCACCTGTCTCCTCCCAGGACACTTTCCAGCTGACAGAGTCAACAACCCATCTTCCAATTAGGAACCTCAAAACTTCCATCGCTTTTCCTCCATCACTTTTACTGCTTTGGCTTTTAGTGAAATGTCCTAACCAGATGGATTTTGTGCAGAAATCCACGGCCACCAGATGATCAGACTTAGCTTTTCTTCTATAGATACCTTTGACTTGAGTGGGTGTTGTTGTATAGACGCCGTCCTGCTCATGATGACTTATAAAATCCCTGGTTAGCTTCTAACTTTTCCTCTAACAGGATCATCTGCAAAAATAATAAGGGAACACTCAATCATCAGAGTATAGACAGACAAAGCCAGCTAGACTTCAGGGTAAGGAAGCATAAACCACTGTGGATCCATTTCAGCTGCTTTGGTGCAAATCCTCGAGGATGACACTTCTACACGTGATGTTGCAGAAAGTTGTGCTGTGACTCCCAACACAGTGTCAAGACTATGGAGGAGAAAGCAGGAGATGGGTCATTGGATGAAAAGAGGCG